GGGGGGGGATAAAAAAAAAAATATATATATAGCCCCTTTATATCGTCTACAGCCCCCGCTGTGTCAGAAGCTGTTTATTATAGGGTTTTTTTTGAGTAAATCACCTCCTTCCACCAGCCTTGAGCATCTCTTCCCTGGCTGGGCACCAGCAAAGCCATTTCAGGAAGAATAGATATTGTATATACCGTTACAAAAATTTAAAAAAAAAAAACAAAAAACACAAACAAACAAAAAAAAACAAACAAACAAAAAAAACAACCTATTATACAAATACTACTGTGTATTCAGAACTTCCCATTATCTCCCAACCCCCTTCCTCCTGCCAAGAATGACGAGTTCAAGGCTTAATATAGCAGAGTACTTAAACAGTAACAAAAAAAAAAAAAAAAAATTCACAGTTTTACCCTAAGAAATAAAACTAAAACCCCAACTGCACTGGTGTTGAACCCACCCACAGGCCAAAGGCACATAGGGCGCTTACCATTTCCATTTGTTTCCTGTCTCTTCTTTCTTTTCTTCCTTTCTCAACTCTCTCTTTGCTTTTTTGTTGTTCTTTTCTCCTCCGTCTTCCTTAGATTTCCTTTTCCGGGTTTTCTGTGGGGTATCTTCCTCTTCACTCTTCTCCTTGATCGTCTTCTCTTTTGTTGCCTCCTTTGGCTTTTTCTTCTTGGTTTTCTGCTTTTTCTCTTTCCCTGGCACATCTCTCTTCCTCATCTTATCCTCTTCCTCCTGCCCAACCTCTACACTCTGCATCTCTCCCCATCTTTCATCTTTCTCATCTACCTCCTCGTCTTCCTTCCCCTTTATTCCTTTTTCATCTTTGCTTTCCTTTCCCACTCCATCCCTTTCCTCCAGTTCATCTCCCTTCTCTCCTCCTTCCTCATCTGTCTTCTCCAGCTCTTGCTCCTCTTCCAACATTTTTTCCTTCTTTCTTTTCTTCTTCCCCATCTTCTCCACTCCTTCCACTTTCACCTTCTTGCGCTTCTCTGCTTTCATCATCTTCTGCTTTTCCCTCCTGTCACCCCGTCCCCGGCTGCTGTTGCTGTCCCCTCGCTCGGCTCTGCCCCATACCCCTGCCCAATTCCTGCCCTGATCAGCACCCTCCTCCTCCTTAATGCCCTTCTCCATATCTCCAGGGCTTTCCTCAAATTCATCCTTCTTCCTCCCTCTTTTTCTCAGCAATCCCTTTTCCTGTTGCTTATTTTGCTTTTGCTTCTTCTCTTTTTTTCTTTTTGGGTCTCGGGCATCCCCTTCTTGCTGTGGGACAGGAGGGTCCAGCTCCTTCTCCTCGCCCCCACTCCTAGCAGTGAGCCCCACATCCATCTCCAGAGCCCAAGGCTGTCCAGAGGGGGATGCAGCCCCACCAGCAACACCATCATTTGAATTGGGGACCTGTGGAAAACAGTCAGAAGGGAAGAAAGGTTGAAGTTGGGAAGGGAAAGGAATTTCCCCAGGTGCATGAGGGAGAATCCAAAGGATCTGCCCCATGCAGGATCGGGGTTTCCTACCCCAACTCCAGCCTTGACTGCCAAAAGCCACTGTCCTGCCACGGATCCTACTCTCCGGGGTTCACACGGCGACCTACAAGAAAAGCAAAGTCACTTCTCACTGCGTGGTGAGCAGCAACCTCCACCTCTTACATGCAAAATTAGGGGATTGCTCCCAAACAAGCCCTTGTTTCCCTTGGAGCCTGGCAGTGCCCTGGGGGCTGAGGTGAATGGAGATACCCCAGAGCAACACCGATCAGCCCCCGTAGGAACAGGATGGCCCCAGGTCGCAGCTTATGGGATGAAGAAGCTCAGTTGAGCAGGACCACAAGGTCTCCAGACCCAATGGGGGAAGGCCCCAAGGAAACGTCCTCAGAGACACGTCTGCCCAGAGAAGGGGAGACGTTCATCAGGTCTGACAGCACCATCAGAAAGCGGGACAGAGATGCCATCAGGGCGAGCATCGGGGACGCGCTGGAGGAGTTCTTGTGATAGGACACATGTCCTGGGACTGTGGGGACAGGCTCCCCCACTTCCCTTCCCAGAGGCAACCTGAGCAATGAGCTGGACAACAGGAGTGTCCAGATCCATGACCTCCACCATCAGCAGTATGGATGAGGAATGCAGGAACCTTTCCCTGGTCAGAGAGGTCAGGTGAATTTTGAGGATTTCTGTGGGACTTGCAAACATTATAAAGCCCCTTAAAAATACTTTCTTCCCAGGCTTCTCCAAATGAGGCAGGGATTTGGGAACCTCATCTCCGAGTTGCTCACGTTCCAAAAAAGCAAAGCAAGAGATGAATGAGGGAGTAGCAAGTACAGCCTAAACCAGGCCTACATCTTGTAGGTTGAACCTACATCTCCACAGGGTCAAGGTGATGATGTCCCCTTGCCCACAAGGAAACTTGGGATTGTCCCTGCTGGCTCATTGCCACCTCCTAACAGAGTGAGATGCCCCCCAGGCTGCAGAGCATCACATCCCCAGCTTGTGATGAGCACCACCACAGGGGGAAAAAACAACTTCTGAGTACCAGCAGGTCAGGGCAGCAAAGTGAAAAGCAACCAGAGCCCCATTCCTCCTGCCCACACTGGGCAAGCTTGGAGCTAAGCTCAGGCCCTTGCACCAGCCCATGGGTTGGACCCATTGCCTGCCTCTCCCCATCCCCAGTACCCCCCAGCAGGGCCACTATGGAAGCATGGCCACCTGCCCCAAAGCCACATTTCTCCTTCCAAGGAGGGTGGTGGTGTGTCTCTTGCATATCCACATGAACACAAACTGAACAGAGCCATGATTTTCTGCTTTCAACCAAGACATCCCACAGACATTGTTTCTGCAGGGGAAAGGGATATTTTTGTCCCGTTTCTAGAAGTTCTTTTAGGCTGATGCTTTATTACCAGGCTGTGGGGCATCAGAGCTACACAGGGCTCGGGAAAGCCTTTGAGTCTGTTTGGGATGGAGACAGCAAGTTCCTAAAAATAAACCAGGGGATGGATCCTTTTTCCAGGCAGCTGGAACACACATTACACAATCTCACAAACTCATCAGGGTAAATGGCCAGGGAAAACAAGCTCAGCCCCTCCAAACTCATTAGCAGACGAGCACCAGCAGATTCATGACTCAGAAGGCAAAGTCCTGCCACCTTTTGGGATCGGCACCTTCCCCAGAAAGTCTTATTAGAAGCCTCTCACTGGACATGAAAGCCCCTGCCTCTAAGACACAGAGAGGATTAGCCTGCTAGGGGACAGCTTTATGAATTCAGCTTCCTATCTCTGCCCAGATCTAGCATGGGGTGACAGAAACACCCTTTTCCCAGGCTTTGGGAGGCTGGCTGTCCCCACTAGCATTCCCCCACCGCCTACCTCCCTATTTATGTAGGTATGTGCATCTGAGAAACTGCACCCTGCTGACTCGAGCATCCTCAGGGAGGCTGGATGGGGCCAGGAGCCTCCCTCTCCACCCTCAAATCCCAGGATGGGGCCTCAAATTCTACTTGCAATGCTTTTGGCAAGCTCTAAGGTCACTGAAGACACCAGGACATGGCCAAGCTGCTCAGTGAAGTCATTGGCAGCAGGGTGGTCTCAGTGATACAGAAGGAAAAGCCAGGGCTGTGCAGGCATATGGAAAGAAGAGAAAGGACAAATGTCCAGTTCCTTGGGCAAAGAACCTTCAGAAAGTAGCTCGACTTACCCTGAAGAGTCTTGCATCAGCCCCACTGATGGCCCTTGGTGGAGGGCTGATTCGATTTCCTCCTGAAAGATGACAACAGTGTTGAGCTGGAAGAGTGTAGCTGGTACGGGTACCCCAATAGCAACATCACCCCCAAACAGTCAGCCAGCCAGGCCACAGTACCCACACCCCACTGATACCACCTCACCCTTCCTCAGCCACCTTGGCTAGAAACCAGGAGCCCAAACCAGCAGGATTTTCCAAGCACAAGGAGAGCTTTGAGGTTTCGCAGGGTTAGGAAATGCCCATCTTACTTCTAACAACACTGAAAAGGTATTTTATTGAGCAAATATAGGAAAACTATCACCCTTCCTCAACCATCGTTCTCATTAGATGCGTTGATGCTGTCAAGGACAGCCGTCCAGAACAGCAGAAGGGCTGGAAAGGCTCCAAAACAAAGATGCATCGTATGACAGCTTATGTGCATCCACGCCAGCTCGGTCCTTAGAAGATTAAATGACCCTTAGAGCAGATGGCAAGGGGGAAAGAGGGGTGGAGGGCAAAGCCATAGGGTGAGAAATACCACAAAGGTGAAAGGGGGGCAAGGAGAAAGAAAAAACACAGCATAGAGAAAACAGGGACAGAACCTAGAAGAAAGTAAGCTCAGAGGGGCCTCGAAGCCCTAAAAGCTGACCCATGGTGGCCACCAGAAATATTATCACACTGTTCACACTCTTGTTTTCAAATCTGAAGTCAGGTTCTTCTGCTCCTGGCTGTGCAAGGGTATGTCTAAC